GGTTTATGAGCCATGTGAACAGCCACATTAGGAAATAAATGTTTTATTTTTCCCTTTAAGATAATAGACTGAAATAAAAGGTGTGTGTTTAAAAGGCTCCTGATCATAAATATTTGATGAGAGGAACTGTTGTCTCTACGCATGTGTGGACAGCTTGTATTCATTTTCAAAATAAAGGTCGCTCAGTAAAGGCCTTTCCCCCCCTCACCATGATCGGGTCTTTCACAGTTAAAGTCGTAAACAGCTCCTGGGGGAGGTATGGGTGGGGGGTGGGTGGTGCTTCGATGGTACAGTCAGGTACAACTGATGAATTTTAAACCGGAAACATAATGTCTAAAGCTGATGTCTTTGGTCTTCGTGTGCAATTTTCAAACAAAGCAGCTGTTTTTATCCCATACACACGTTTTGCTGACACCAAACAGAGACGCGCAGCAGAAAAGCAACAGGCCTGCACGTGTAACAGTAAATGTTTCCCCAGCATCAGAACTGCATCAGAGACTAGATGGAGCTGCTTTTATTGGCACAAATAAGCTGTGGCTTCTCCCTCCTGCATGCCACTCTTTACCACAAAGTATACAACCGACCTCCGAGTTGCCATCCAGCACTGCTCCATCGATTAGACTCTGGAAACACTTAACAAACTAATGACTATTGACGGCTGATTAATATTGCATCAACGACAACCGACGATATCAGATGGCGGTGGGAGCAGCCCCTCTCACTGTATGTGTGATCTGTGTTTGCCTACATGATAAATATATTGTAGGAGCGGAGGGAGGGGGTGGTGTTGCGGGCCTACAGTGCGTTCAATTTATGGCTCCGTCTAATTCGAGGGCAGCCGCGTCTCTTGTGAAGGCAGACACTTGGCGTTAAAGCGTACAGTTAATATATTCTCCTCTCAGGTCCCCGGGCGAAGCTCCGACAGTCCCCGGCTTCATTAAAATTTCATCAGTATCCCCTGTGAAAGGGCTGGAAATGTTCAAGGGGCGGCTGGCTGGCTGGTGGTGGTGGTGGCGGGGTGTGTGTGTGTGTGTGTGTGTGGGGGGGGGGGGGGGGGTGGAGAGAAAAATAAAACAGAGGGCGTAATTATAACAAAAGGAAACAGCACTACCCCCATCCCATTCCCTCACGCCCCCTTCTAGTAAGCTCCCATAATGTTCCTTAGATGGAGACCATGATCAGAACAGGTTACTGTAAAACAACAAAAACAGGAATAGATCGTGCTGAAGCTTTTTTTGTATATATGTAAATATATATGGTGGTGTGTGTGTGTGTGTGTGTGTGTGTGTGTGTCCACATTGATTCGCTATCAAAGAATCCAAATTGATCTTCACCCCGATGTGTGTGAGAGTGAACAGCATAATCAGCTTCAGATCTGCAGCCCCCCCTCCTCTCACGCGCTCATCAGCTCCGGCATGTCAACCAGCAGCAGCGAGGCTCGCTGAATAAAGTTAATTTCAATTCCCGATGAGACCCCACCCCCCTCCCCCCACATCCTCAGCAGCCCTCCCCTGACCAGCGGTAATTAACACGGATAGCTAATGACTAGTTAAACTTCATAATTATCTGCTTTTCATAATTCCATGTGTAATTTAATAATTCGCTCTTATTAAGTGAACAGCTCGTTAAGGAATGGTGTGTGTGTGTGTGTGTGTGTGTGTGGGGGGGGGGGGGTGCTGGAGTTAGAGGCACTCACCAGGAGCATCTTTTAATTGATGAACCATCATCTCTGTCTCGTTAATAACGAGGGGCCGTTCTGATACTCTTTTAATTTGTCATTGGAGAACACCGGTTGGAGAGCGCCTCGTGGCTGGCTGTTTTATGAAGATGTTGTTTTATTGCAGATGGGAGACGTTTCAAATGAGGGGTGTGACAATCCTGGAGAAAATGGTGCGCGTTGTTTTTTATGTTTGTTTGTTTGTTTCCCAGAGACTGAGAAATCTTCTTGTAAATGATTTCTTGGTGCACATTGTGGAATTATTAGGACTTCATGGGTGGACAATTGATTTTAAAACCTACAGGTGATCATTAACAGTTAGACATACAAATAGAATATATATATATATATACATATTTTTATGAATGCAAATATTTCAATATTTGTCCATGATGCTGAAAAATCACGAACCCTAAACATTTCAGATTGTTTTTTGTTAGATGAAGGACAGTTTCAAGGTTTGCAAAATTCTTAAAGAAAACTGTGATTGCCTGTCCCACGCATCATTGTTAATGTATATATTTACACAAACTACATGTTGTTTTGTTTGTTTTCAAGTAAATGAATAGCCAAATTGATTTCTCACAGAAAATTGCAGTTTTAAAATAAAAATAAAATCCAAAAATTGAAGTGGTCTAGTACAACATCTTGCTGCACTCCTTTGTGTTGTAATTATTACGTCCAGATGTTTCAGTTGCTTTCAATGGTGCTGAACGCTTGCTCATAGCAGCAACTGAGTTCCAGTGCATCCATACATTGCATTTTGTTTTATTAGGTACATATTTATGTACATTAAGTTAATGTGCTGTGTAAAAAGCATGACTATACTCTGATAGCTATTGTTAATGTGTATGCTTTTCAACATACAGGGGATTTTCTTTATTTAGAAAGCAGTCTGATGCATTCCTGCTAAAACAAATTGCCAGCTGTAATTAAAAAATAAAATAAAATGTAAGTAGTCCAAAACAGCACCGTGCTGCACGCCTGTTGTGAAAGTCTAAAGTAGCTGTCCAAGGTGCTGAAACGCTTCCTCAGCGTTCACTCGCATAAAACGCTCCTCTGATTTAGACACGACATCCCTGCCTTTATTTTTCCCTTTTTTCCTCCTCTCTCATCCAACCAAGACTTCGAACCAAATGCTGTATTTTATTTATCTATTTATTTTCCTTGCTTCAAAGCCTGTGTGCGCGAATCGAAGCATGTTTGAGCGCATTATTCAAATAGAGACGGCCTGGTTTGGCATGCGAGGTGTATTTTCTGGCGGGCTGACATCTGGCAAGTCGATGCTCCAGGGAACCATCGAGCTCTCCACAGACCCCCTGATTAGGCTCTAATAGAATATTAGCATTTGCTCTCAGGTAAGGTAACTGTGAGCGAGCTGCATAAGCTGCCTGACTGAAGCTGCAGCTGCAGCGCGTATTGGATGAAAAAAGCCATGCGTGTCTCCAACACTGATGGAGAGAAAGTGCGCTTCGTTTGTGGGGGGAGTTTGGGGGGGGGGGGGGGGCTCCATGACGGGACCTGTAGGATGACGGTGAAATCAGCAGATCAAGGCGGAAATAAGAAGACATTTCTAATTGTATTTCACATTTGCATGGCTGGTGTTCATCTGAGGATCTATTACAGGGGCTTAGTTCACCTGCACTGAGGCAAGACTTATTTTCAGCCAAAAAATATGTAAAAATAAAAATTAAACATATAAATAATAAACGTGCAAGGCAAGAATCCACAAAAAGCAGTGCATCCCACCAGCTAAATCGTTCCCCTCCTCCTCATTAATTAAAAAAAAACTAGATGAAATAAATAAAATCATACATTAATAATAAGTTATTTTAAAACAGCCACAAAAAAAAAACGTCCCACTGAACATGTTAAAGTTAGTTCTTTAATGAAACACATATTGCAGTTCAATAAATAAATAAATTAATTAAAATTTTTACATGGATATAAATAAATTAATATTTTAACCGCAAAACAAACGAAGAAAAACAAAGAATTTTAAAAAAGCCAACATACATTACAGAAATCAGTTTGTACGTCTGCTAAAACAGCAATACAGCAAAAACCTGTACGGATATATGTATGTGCATCGACTGATTCCAACGAAATATTTACATTAGTATACACTTCCATGAAGCTGTCTTTTTTTTACTCTCTTTTTTTTAAGGAAAAAAAAAAGGTGATTTAACAAGCAACAATCTCCAAATGATGCACGCATATTTATACAAATAAACAGCAGAAAACTGAACAAAACATACATAAAATAAGCATAAAAAGAGAGAGAATCTCATATTTATGTCGATTGTACCTTAAACGTTTAACATTTTTGAGACTGTGTTCATTTCTGTAGTTATTTTCAACACAGTCGTTTCCCTTTTCATCAACTCAATGTCACAATTTGATTTTCTTAAGCTAAAAAAAAACCGAGGAGAGGAGAGAGAGAGAGAAACAGAGAGAGAGGGAGGGAATCCCAATAAATATATAATGAAGTAAACATGACCTCACCCAATAAATACTTCATAAGACTCCAGACCACGCTGGATTGTAAACTTATTGTAGCTGCATGGGGGGTGGGGGGGGTGGATTTGGAATGGATTTTAGTTGCAAAAATTAAAAAGTGTCACATTTTCGGCCTTAAAAATATCCAATCTTTAAAAGAAAAAAAATCCAACAGATCGCTGACTAAGAGCACACGTGGTTACAAAATACTTGGAAATATTACACATTTAGACACAAAATGAAGTGTAAGGAGGAAAACTGTTCATTTACAGGATAGTTATTTGGCAGTAATCTAATCTTAGCTCTCAGCTCGTGCTGTCTTCCTAACACCCCCCGCCCCCGCACACACACTGACCTGAATAAATGTCACTCTGCTTTGAGATGAACTCGGAAGAGAAATTGTACCCAAAAAATGGGAACACGAATAAACAAGTGCTCTGAGTTCATTGTTTTTTTTTTTGTTTGTTTGTTTTTTTCTTTTCTACTTCATAGAGGGTGTAACGCATCAAATGAAATCCAAATAAATAAATAAATAAATAAATAAAATCCTCCTGTGAGGCTGAGTGCGTTCAAAAGGTGAGTGAGTGTCTTACTTGCGATGCCCTTCCTGGACTCCACGTGTCCATCATCTCTCTGCGCAACACGGAGCAGTGTTCTCCACGTTCCTCACTCAATGTTCGTTCGTGGGAATTTTATTCAAAGTTCAAAGTCATCGATGATTGAAGAAACAAAAAATATGTGTGATAGGAAATATGGTACAAATCAGATTTCACCAGTTCCAAGTCTTGTGTGCGTGTGTGTATGTATATGTGTGTGTGTGGTTTAATATTTAATTTACACGCACGCGGAGTACTTCATCCGTTTCTGTTTCTGCCGCTGGTTGCAAAACCAGACGCGCACCACGTTTTTTTTCAGGTCCAGCTTCTCCGCGATCGCCGCGATTTTTTCCGACGAGGGTCGCGGCTGGATGGCGAAGTAGGCCTCCAGCGACCTCTTCTCCGGCGCCGCGATGGACGTGCGCTTCCTCTTCTTCTCCGCGCCGTTGAACAGCTCCGGCTTGTTCAGCTTCTCCCTGTGCGACTTCTCCGCTTCCTCCAGCCACGCTTGCAGGATGGGCTTCAGCGCGATCATGTTGTTGTGCGACAGCGTGAGGGACTCGAACCGGCAGATGGTGCTCTGGCTCAGGGAGCCCACCCCGGGTATCTTCAAGCTGGCCAGCGCTGACCCAACGTCCGCCTGCGTCACCCCGAGTTTGATCCGTCTCTGCTTAAACCTCTCCGCGAACGCCTCCAAGTCCCTGGGATCGGCGTCCACGTCGCTCATGCCCATGTGCGGCGGCAGCCCGTGCGCGTGGGCCATGTTGATAGCCGCCTGGTGCATGTGGTTCATGCCCGCCATGTGGGCAGGGTGCGCAGGCGTGGAAACCACCGAGCCATCCGGCCCGGCCATGGCGCCCAGTGCCAGTCCCGGGGTGATGTGATCCAGCAGGTCCCCCTCCAGCGCCTGGTGAGGCTGGTGATGGTGATGATGGTGGTGGTGGTGGTGGTGTCCGGCCAGCGCGGACGGGTGAGAGATGGGCACAGAGGAGGAGGACGACGTGCAGGGGAGAGTGTTCATGGTGTGGTAGGTGGCGTCCGGCTTGAAGGGGCTGTGGTGAGGAGGGTGGTGGTGGCTCTTGGTCTGCGAGACTATATCCACCGCCGCGAGAGCTTCAGCCCGGGCCAACAAACTCTCATCCAAGCCTCCGAATATATTGCTCTGCAATTGCAAATAGAATGCACACATATCTGTCAGCAGGGAATTCTCCCTCCACTCCTCGGTTTAAAACATTTCCAGATTGTGGAGGAAAAAAAAGAGAAGAAATCCTTTAAAAAAAAAAAAAAAGGAGGGAGCACACAAAACAAGACGCACGCAACATCCCAGGTCATAAAAATTAATACGAAAGGCAAAGCCCACTGAATACATAAGTTGAGATGAGGAGGGAAGAAAAAAAATATGGAGGTGTTGGGTGATTTGCTGTGCAGACATGAAAAAAACATCAAGCGAGGGAGAAGAAGTGGGCTGTCAAAATGTGCCTTTAAGCTGTGATTATGCAGATACGTACCGGTGGGGTTGGGAGACAGGCTCTGCGCATCACCTCCGAGCTGCTGCTGCCGCTGCTGCTGCTGTGGCGCGAGGAGGAGCAGGACGACGGAGGCGCGTTGGAGGTGAGAGTGGAGGAGGACGAGGAGGAATGCAGCGAGTACTTGGGCTCCGGCAGGCTGGAGTGCGCCATGCTGAAAGGCTGCTTGCTGTTCAGAGACATCATCATCATATTTGCTGTGGCGTCCAGAGCGCAGAAAAGTTCCCGTTTTTATCACTTCAGACTCCGCCTCCTCGTGGAGCTGGGAGCTTCTGCAGGAAACTGGAGAAGAAAAAGTGCAGACTGGTCCAACACCGATTCACATCTATTTATTATTTGGTGCGCAGGTATGATGTTTTTTGTTGTTGTTTTGTTTTTTGGTGAGGTATCACCAAGGCGCCATGCAAAAAGACTCTCTGCTTTTCTCCATCAAGTTCCACCACTTTGTATGTAAATATATCTATATAGTTTTTTTTATGGGTTTAGATTTTTATAGAAAAACTCCTCCTAGTCGACTCCATTAAAGAAAAATTAAAAATAAAAAAAAATCTCCGTTGTTTTAGGGTTTTCCAAAATATCTCAAGTTCGATGCTTCGTTGATCTGTTAGTTTTTTGTTGTTGTTTTTTTTTGCAAAAGGAAAGTTTCCGTCTTGAGGTGATGTGAGGGAGGTGATGGTGGTGACAGCCGCTCCAGCTCCACGGAATGCTGCGGGGACCCGAACTGGTATGACTGGCTGCGCCTGGCGAAGGGCAGACTGAGTCTCTCTCCGCCTCTTTCTCTTTCTCTCATTCTCACACACGCCCTCCCTCTCCCTCTCTCTCAGCGTCTCACCCCCTCATCCCCACACACACATGCACACTCCCTCACAGCTGCACCTGAAAAAGCCCCTTTCATGATTTATTATTCTTCATTAGCCACACTGGGGACTCTGCGCATGAGCAGTCCACAACACGGCGTTTATTTCAAACGACTCCTCTTCACCACCATCACTCGTTAACCATGCTCAGGATTTCATTTTATTTACATTTATATATTTAGAATTTGAGTTCGTGAAAAATAATTTTTATCTTTTTATCCTTAAAATCAGAAAACAAAACATAAAACAGTCTTGTCGATGTAATTTCAATGATTTTAACAAGGAAATAAACGATTTAAACCAATTCAAGTTTGTATTTTAAGCAGATAAAATGTTATATTATTTTCCTAAAATATTATTCTGAAATGTCACCATTATTTAGAACAAAATCTTAAGGAAAAAATATATATATATTTTATGATGGTGCGCTGACGATAAACGTACATTTTGAAACAATAATACTAATAATGAGCAGTCTTTAATTTCAAATTGATATTCTTGTGGGTTATTATCTTATATCTGTCCTAATGAAGCCACATTATCTGAGCCATAATTACTGTATTTAATCAGGCTGTAATTAACAAGGAGCGTCTAAATGGTTTAAGATGATGGGCCTAATGGTGTCACGTGAGGAAGCCGTGGGACTTTAGGAATGTTCAGCGCTGCTTAGATTAACAATGCATCAATTTTGATAATAATGATCAAAATAAAAACATATATTTGTGTCTCTGCGCACATATACATGATTTAATTCCTGTTTTTATTATAAAAATATATGCATATTTATTAAAAACGGTGCTGAACATTCCTAAAGTCCCACGGCTTCCTCACGTGACAC